AACTCTACTACCTTTTTCTTTCCTCTTTCTTACCACTTATTTTTTTTTTTCCTGTTGGTAGTTTTTCGTCCTTTCTCACTCCTGACTTTCACAGTAACTTCTGCACAGATAACTCCCTGATGTTTATCAATAGTGTCAGTCTATTAAATTTCAAATAGTATCTCCCCTGCCTGCTGCTCCCTTCCACCTGAGACCAGGATCTGCATATATCTGATCAGTGGCCAACAGCTCCTCTGATCCAGTTCCTCTCCTGTGTGTCCCCATCTTGGTCATATCACTATCACATAGCATTTCTCTGATCTTTGATTCTTTCCGCTGTCCCAGATTCAGTCACTGGCAAACCCTGAAGATTCCACTGTCATCTGATTTCACTCCTGCTCCCTCCTTTTCACTCCCACAGCTACTTTGGTTTTAGCTTCTTGTCTCTTAATTGTTTTTTTCTGCCCTTATTTCTAATTCTACCCTTGTTTGTTCCACAGACATTCTAGGAAGAGGTGTGGCTCCAGTATTGGCACCTTCTTGCTCAAATCCTTTTTATGGCAATTAATGGAACTAAGTACAGATCCACAATTTGGCATTCAAGATATTCATAATTAGGCTGGAAAAAATAAAATGGGATATCTTCTGTAGGAAGTTTGGGAAACAACTGAGGTAAAAGCCAACTCAAACTATATGTTAACAAAATTAAATTGTCCCTATATTTTAGTATAGGGGTTCTCAGAAAAAAAGTGGATATTTGTTTATTTTCACAGGAATAGTGGATATTTATTTTCAAACATATTTGAGTAAAATGATACTTCAATCTGTGCAAAACAGCACAAGCACATTCCTTAACCATTACAATGTCATCTGCGGAACTTGTTAAAATCTTTTTGACTTAAATATATTGTAATGGAAAGAACTTTTGACTGGAGAAAGAACAACTCTGTGTTCTAATTCTAGACTTGATGGGTCAGGCTTTGTTAGGTTGCTTAACCTCTTTAGGCATTAGTTTCTGAGTCTGCAGGTTTGGGAGGTAGTACTCTGTCAGCAGTTCTCAAAGTTGGCTGCACATTGTAATTACTTGTAGAGTATGTTTAAAACATCTTTGTGCAGGCTCTCTTGTCAGGCATTGTCTCAGTAGGTCTGTGGGCTGGGTGTGTGTGTGTGTGTGTGTGTGTGTGTGTGTGTGTGTGGCGCACGCACTGGGGGTGGGTGGGCGGAAGGACATCCAAAAATTTTATTTTTAAATTAATTAATTTATTTTAGTTAGTATATATGACAGGAGAATACATTTTGATTCATTGTAAACAATTGCAGCATAACTTTTCTGATTGTATGATGTAGCTTCACACCATATGTGCAGTCATACATGTACCTGGGGTAATAATGTCCATTTCATTCCACCATCTTTCCTGCCTCTATACTCCCTCACCTCTTTCCCCTCCCTTCCCTTTGCCCAATCAAAGCTCCTCCATTTTTCCCATGCTCTGCCCCCCGCCCCCATTATGGATCAGCATCCACTTATCAGAGAGAACATTTGGCCTTTTGTTTTTTGGGATTGGCTTGCTTTGCTTAGCATGATATTCCCCAGTTCCATCCACTTACCTGCAAATGCCATGGTTTTATTCTCTTTTAATGCTGAGTAATATTCCATTTGTATTTATACATTTCTTTTATTCATTCATCTATTGAAGGGCATCTAGGTTAGTTGCACAACTCRGCTATTATGAATTGAGCTGCTATAAACATTGATGTGGTTGCATTACTATAGTATGCTGATTTTAAGTCCTTTAGGTATAGACTGAGTGGGATAGCTGGGTCAGATGGTGGTTCCATTCCAAGTTTGCTAAGGAATCTCCATACTGCTTTCCAGAGTGGTTGCACCAATTTGCAGTCCCATCAGCAATGTATGAGTGTGCCTTCCCCCACCCATCCTCACCAACACTTATTGTTGTTTGTATTCTTGATAACTGCCATTCTGACTGGCATGAGATGAAATATTAGTTTTGATTTGCATTTCTCTAATGACTAGAAATGTTGAACATTGTTTCATATATTTGTTGATCAGTTGTATCTCCTATGAAATATCTGTTCAGTTCCTTAGCCCATTTATTGATTGGGTTATTTGTTTCTTTGGTGTTAAATTTTTTTGAGTTCTTTATATATCCTGGAGATTAGTGCTCTTCCTGTCGTGCGAGTGGCAAACATTTGCCCCCAAAATGTAGGCACTTTCTTCACCTCATTGTTTCTTTTGCTGAGAAGAAGCTTTTTAGTTTGAATCTATCCTATATATTGACCTTTGATTTTCTTATGCTTTAGGAGACTTGTAAAGGAAGTCGGGGTCTAATCCAATATGATGATTTGGGCCTCCCTTTTCCTCTATTAGTCTAATTGCAATGTCTTTGATCCACTTTGAGTTGAGTTTTTTTGCATGGTGAGAGATGCGGGTTTAGTTTCATTTTGCTGCATATGGATTTCCAGTTCTCTCAGTACCATTTGTTGAAAAGGTTACCTTTTCTCCAATGTATGTTTTTGGAGCCTTTGTCTAGTATGAGATAACTGTATTTATGTGTGTTTGTTTTTTGTGTCTTCTATTCTATACCATTGGTCTATCTGTTTATTTTGGTGCCAATACCATGTTGTTTTTTACTATAGTATTGTAGTATAGTTTAAGGTTTGGTATTGTGATGCCTTCTGCTTTATTTGTCTTGCTAAGGATTGCTTTGGCTATTTTGGGTCTCTTATTTTTCCAAATGAATTTCATGATTACTTTTTCTATTTCTATAAGGAATGACATTCRGATTTTAACTGAAATCACATTGAATCTGTATAGTGCTTTGGGTAGTACAGCCAACAGTTTTAACAGTTTTGATTTACTTGTACAGTGTGTTTAAAACATCCATGCACAGGCCCTCCTATTAGGCATTGTCTCAGCAGGTCTGTGGGGCCAAGAAAGTGTGTGTGTGTGTGTGTGTGTGTGTGTAGGGTGTATCCAAAAATTTGAAAAGCTCCTTGGTTGATTTTAATGTGTAGGTAGGGTTGGGAACTATTAGACTCAGTTCAACTATCTTTCTGGCTTTAACAGAATCATTTTTGGATTCGCTTTTCCTCTCAGTTACAAATTTCACTTTAATTTACTTAGCATAATCTACCATATTTGTCTTACCATCTTTCTGGTGCTGTAGAATCCTTTACTAATGTGTCTTATTTACTTTTGTGTCCTTATTCCTTGGTATATGGTAGATTTTCACTAAAACATTTGCTAAATTGAGTTAATAAACCTTACCAAACTATATGCCCTCCTCAAACTAAACATAATGGCTCTATGTGTGATTCTTTTTTGTTTGGTTTTGGAGATTGAACTCGGGGGCATTCAACCACTGAGCCACATTACCAGCTCTGTTTTGTATTTTATTTATGCTGAGGCTGGTTTTGAACTTGGCCTCTCGGGCCACTGGGATTATAGGAGTGTGCCACCCAGCCGGTTCAATGTGTGATTCTTGATAACTTGTAGGTGAAATACTCTGCACCCTTGGTTCATAAGGGGGAAGATGGAGGTATTAAAAAGCTCTTTAAAAAATGTTTTCCGCCGAAAACTAAAAAAAWAAATAAATAAATAAATAAAATGTTTTCAAAAGTGAAATGTTGAACGATTGTTCTATGAAAAACATGGTGTTTACTTGCAACTGTTACATTATATGCTTGAGAATATGCGTTGTTTTGTAGGCAAAGGGCTAACATTGCTCTGGGAAGACTGGGAATATTGAAAATCTCTGTATGCTAGAATGACTGTGAAATTTCACCAATGGTTGTGAAATACGTTGTTGGTGAGGGAAAGCTATAGAAGTTATAATTCTTTGTCGGCCATCCTGAAGTTGTACACATTGCCTTTACCATATTTATGTAAAGAAAAACTCAGAACATCATAAATAGTTTTACTAAATGAGATCCATCCAAATATTAAAAATTTGACTAAACTTCGAATAACATAGTCCTCCTGTCCAATGCAACTGCTAAAGGTCCTTTGGGAATGTTGTCGTTTTTCTTTGACAACTTCTAAAGAGATTTMCAAGTTTTATGGTCTTTAAAACTCTTGAAATAAAGTCTGAAGCACTGAAAGGCACTGAGGAAAAAAACAAAGCTGTCGAGCTAGAGAAACCTGACACATTCCTGGGGTTTTATCAAATGGCTGACTTATTTAGGCTGTTATTTTTATTCTACTTTTATTCACAAAAACATCACCATGTAACATATTGCCTGGAACGTGGGCTCTGGGGATTCTCATTTTTCACGGCTGTAATTCATCCGCTGCCTGAAGAAGGTGAGGCTTATTTGCATCTGCAGAAAGGGCAGCCRTAGGAAACCGGACGAGAGCCAGGGAGTGGCAGAGGGTGCTTGCACGCGAGCAAGTGTGCGTGTCCCGGAGGATGCACACAACCTCACCTAAGCCGACGGCCGCCAAGAGTTAACAGGGGCGCACAGTTAGCCTAGGCCTACACATTCGTCCTCCCAGTGTCTTTGTCAGGAGTTAGAAACCGTCTGGGAAACCGCGAAGCAGCGTCTAAGGGACCGAGCGGCTCACTCCGGAGTCTGGGGACGCGGAGTTGACGCAAAACTGGCGAATCTGCGGCCGAAAAGCGGCCCCCACCGCCCTCAGTGCCCTGAGCCGCACAGCTGAGGGGTAAACTCTTCGCCCCAGGGCGTCCTCAGCGTCCGGCCGAGCCCGCAAGCAGGGCGACAGCCCGGAAGGGTCAAGGCTTGGCGAGCGCCGCCGCCTCACAATTGGGACGCGCGCCGGTGACGTCACATGGCCGCGGCCCGCCTCCTGCGTCGGGAAAGAGACTGCCGCCCATTGGCTGCGCCACCGGCGGCCTCGGGGCCAATGACAGGGCGGCGAGCGGCGGGGTCTAGCCCTGACGTTGTGCTGCCGCCGCGGGGTTTATTTGGCTCCGGGTCCCTGGTCGCCGCCATTAGGAGTCCGCAGCGCCCGAGGCCGCCCCCCTCTCCGCCCCCGCCCCCCGGCGCCCCCCCGCCTCCGCGCCTCCTCTCCGCCCCTCTCCCCCCGCCTCCGGCAGTCGGGAGCCGCGCGCGGGCCCGCGGAGACCATGTCCTGACTGAGGCGGGAGGGCGGAGGCGGCAGCAGCGGGGCGGGCGGCGGCGCCGAGGGAGGCGGAGAGGGGCCGGGCTCGGCTGGTCGCCGCGGGCTGTGCGGGAGTCGCCGCCGCCGCCGCCGCCGCCGGGCGCTGAGCCTCGTACGGGGAGGAGGAGCGGGAGCTGGAGGAGGAGCCGCCGCCGCCGCCAGGTAACCGGGCCCGGGGTGCGGGCGCCGGCCGCAGGCCCCTCACCGCCCCGCCGCGGCCTGCCGGGCCTTGGCGGCCTGCGGCGCCCCGGCTGCCGAGCCTCCCGGGGCGGCGGCGTTGTGGGCGAGGGCAGCAGGCCGGGACCGCCGCTGGGCCGCGTCCATCTTGGGCTCCGCCGGCGCGGGGAGGGCCCGGCTCCGTGGGAGGGCGGGCGCGCCCGCTTGTTTACCGACACAGGCGGCCGCCCCGCCGCCTCTCTTCCGCCAGATTACCCCTCCTTCCCTGCTGGTCCGCGGCGGCGAGCGGGGTCTCGCGCCCGAGCTGCGCTAGGCCGTAAATACACGGGCCCGTCGCCACAAGTTGGTGCTGGTCTCTAAACTTGTATTTTGGTCCCTTGACCGCTTTCTCTCTAACTCCCGCGGTGGCTTCTTGTTGTAGCCATTTCTAAGAAAATCCAGGTGGGGAGCGACGAGGCGGATGGCGAGGAGGAGCTGGAACTCGTGGAAAGATTATCTGGCTCTCCGCTTGCAACAATGATTGCTCAGTGCAAGTATCTGTTGTTTCTCTGCTGTAGTTTGGTGCGGGTCATTTTACAGACAAAATAGCTGTAATTTTTAAGAACCAAGGGCAGGCAGTTTAGGGTAACTGCCTAAGTTTGAAGTTAAACCGGCCCATTATCTTTGAGAATTACAGGTGTTTTGAAACTCCGTTGCTGAGAATTTTTGTATTTCACTCAGTTCTCCCTTTCCTTAACTATGTAGATTAAGTGCCGGCCGTGTTCCCAATGCTTTGGTGTCACGATATAATCTATTTATGATAATGTAATAAAGGTAATGTATAAAATACTATTTTGAGAACACAGCTGAAAAGAGATCTTAAATTCTTGGAAGTGTTATGTAATGAATGGTTCCTGTACCTGCGGTCTCTCTTAGTTGACTTCCTTATCACTTGTGTAACCTCCAGTGTACCCCTGTGTTGATCAAACAGTTTGACTAGGTGGACAGACCACAAGCCTAGGGGACCGTCAGGAATTTTCATCTTGGCTGATGCCACAGGCCTTTGGAAAGTCATCCAGAGAGAGTTTGGGAAGAATAAAGCTGGATCTCGCTTCCTGGTTGTTATTGTTTTTAATTTAATGAGGTCAWTCTAAAAAAGGTTAGAGCTCTACTGCCTCTTAATCTTTGGCTCTTAAGGTAGGCAGTTGTCTTATACTAAAATTTTATAACATTGTTTTTATTGGGCCATTAGGGGGGCAGGGGGTAGTAGGATAGTAATGACACATTTTACTCCTTGATGGAGGATGTTATTTTGGGAAGAATGTCATGAGGGATTTTTATTTCTGTTGCTATTTCACACCTTTTTATTAATGTCTCAGAGCATTGAGACACTCGTTTATTTACTCATTAATGTGCTTGGGTTACTATGATGAACTCATTCACAATAGTATATTTTAACCTCTTGGCCTTGATCCAGATCTGTACACTGATAGGTGCTATGGCATTTCACATTTAAAGTCTGAGAATTCACAGTTTTGGAACTCAGTTCAGTTGTAAAACATTTGAGGTAAATTTGCTTCATATGAGTAGTTGATACAATGAGAGCCATTCCATGTACCTTATACTTACTGCTTTTATGTAATAAATGTAAACTTTAAGAAATGGGAGGTGCAAAAGTAGAACTCTGTAGCTTTTTATTTAACTTGGTTCCGTTTATTTATGTGTTGCTGTTCTCTCCTCCTCTTGACTCTGTTGTTATCCTCTCTATCTGYGCTTTCAACACTTTTTCTCCCAGTTAGGTTGTATTTCATTTTGAGTATTTGTGTTTCACTTATGCTTTGAGTAAATGATATCTGTGTATTTGAAAACTATCACCTATACAGACCTACAGTAAACTCCTTAGTAAATATAGAATAAAGTTCAAGCTCCTTGGTGTGGTGTTCATATTACTCTGTAGTAACGCCCTGACTTAGTCTTCAGTTTTAACTTGTTTTTTTTTTTTTTTTGGTGAATCCTTAGTTCCAGCAGAAGTACATTGTTTGTGGTTTCTGTGAAATATCTCTAGAATCTTTTTTAATGCCATTCTTTCTCTTTGATATTGTGAATTCATGGATACTCTACTCTGACTTATTTAATTGCTGTCTCTTGAGAAGTCTTTTTGATGACTTCAACCCCAAGAGATCTGTCTGCTCACTCTGTGAGTCTTTCTCCTTTTTTTCTTAATCTATTCTAAMCTGTTCTTATTTTTCTGTTTTTATTCTGCTTCCCATCTAGATTTTCAAGACCTCTGAGAAATGAGTGATATAGTCAGCACTGAAAATATGGATATACATGTCTCACAAAGTATTTTTGGTTATAGAGGTAGTCTGAGATATAGTGTATAGACTCCTAAGTATTGGAGTTTCTAGGACTTCAGTATTCTGAGACAAAACACTTGAAATTATGGCTCTCTTAACAAACATACTAACCAAACTCTTTTTATCAGCTCAGTTCATCTTGTAGAGGAATGGTTGGCATTTTCAAATGAAAATAAGTACCACAGTTGTGTGGTTTACTTTATATTTGTGTTTGGAGCAGATATTTGGTTTCGAGTTTGGCACCAGTGACTAAAATTTGCTATTCCATATTTGTATATGGGTAACATTTAGCATCAGAGAAGGAGAAAATCAGTAGCCTCAGTTCACATTCTTAACATGCTGCCAGCATCTGAGGTTATCATTGATAATAAGGCATATGGGACATCAGAATATGTGATTCACTGCTACCTGTCAACATTGTTGAAAGAAAACACAAATGAGCTGAATCAAAGTATTGTTATATTCCAAGAATAATACATGTAATTATGTACTTAGGTGGATGCTGATACATTTGGAAAATAGACAGTGTTTGTGAGAATAGGAGGTATGGTGTTTTATGGATACATAGTCTTTTTGCAGTAAACCATCCCAATTTACTTACTGTATCTATGTGAAAACTTGTTCTTTCTAGTTCATCAAAATAGTTTTCCTCTTCAGACTGTCCAGTTTTTTTTTTTTTTTTTTTTTTTTTAATTAGAAAGTAGCCTATATGCTCCCAACCCTCCACTCCTTTCTGGTATAACTAAAGCTAAAATTAACATGTTGCTTTGTGGAACTAGTAGGCATTTTTACTTAGGCTTCTTGCATTCATAAAAGTCACTTTTATAGAATTGTACTAGTAATTTTACTGCTTGAGAAATATAGATCCCCTAAGCATTCTTTGCTCTCTGAGTGGTGGTATTTTGGTTAAGATGAAGTTTTTGATAAGAGCTGTCTGTTTGAATTTCAAAATGGAGATTGGCCAGCTAAATTGAATATAATATTGATAATTTTTCCGTGGCCTACTGAATRGAACCAGTAATAAAAAAGTGAAGTTTCCTTTGTTTTTATAATTTATATGTTGAAAACCAACTGTCCCTATTCCTTTTCAACTAAGACTATACAATTTTGGTTGTTTTGTCAAGTCATATTTTTATCCATAGATACGCATTACTGGAATCGGTTGCTTTTTTTCCAGTTTTATCTTAATTTTGTTTGTTTGTTTGGTGCTGGGAAGTGAACCGAGGGCCTTGCACATGTAACCATATATTCTACCACTGAGCTACACTTTGAGCCCTAGTTTTTTTTTTTTGTTTTCTCTTTTTAAAGCAAGGGTTTCATTTAGGTATGTTTTATAATGCCATAAAATTTACCCTTTTAATGTATACAGTTCATTGGTTTTTAGTGAATTCATAGTTATCCAACCATCACCGCTATATAATTCAAGAATATTTTCATCACCCCAGAAAGCAAGCATGTACCCATAAGCCCCTATTGCTCTGGACTCATGGCCACTACAAACTGATTTTCTGCCTCTATAGATTTGCCCATTTGGAGATCTCATGTAAATGGAATCGTACAGTATATGGTCATTTGTGTTTGAATAAGTATCTTGTTCATATTAAGAATGAAAAATATTCCAATGTATGGATAAACCACATTTTGTTTTTCCATTCATTCATTTTCACTTTCGTTATTGCACCATATAATGCTATTAACATTGTGTACAATTTTTTGTGTGGACATAGTTTTCTTGGATGATGTATATCTGGGAGTGGAATTACTGGGTGATTGGGTAACTATGTTTAACCTTTGAGGTTTCCAAAAAGTAGTTGTAGCATTTTATATTTTTACTAGCAGTGTATGAACACTTATTATTGTCTTTTTAAAAAATTCTAGTGCTCCTAGTGGAGTGGCATATCCTTGGTTTTATCTGAATTTCCCTAATGAGTGATAATGTTGAACATCTTTTCATGTGCTTATTGTTGGTCATTTGTTTATCTAGAGAAGTTTCTATTCTGATCCTTTGCTTGTTTTTTTTCCCCCCTCCTCAGTTAGGTTTTGTTGTTTAGAGTTCTTTATATATTCTAGATACAAGCATTTTTTTTATGGGGGAGTGCCAGGGATTGAACTCGGTGGCACTTACCCACTGAGCCACATCCCCAGCCCTATTTTGTATTTAGAGACAGGGACTTATTGAATTGCTTAGCACCTAGCTTTTGCTGATGCTGGCTTTGAACTTGCAATCCTCCTGTCTCAGCCTCCCAAGCAGCTGGCATTACAGGCGTGCGCCATTGACTATAGGCATCTTATCAGATTAATGGTTCGCAATTATTTTCTTCTATTCTTTGGGTTTTCTTTTCAGTTTCTTGATGGTGTCCTTTGAAGCATAAGTTTTTTACCTTTGATGAAATTCAGTTTATTGGTTTTGTTACATGTGCTTAATCCAGAGTCATGATATGTATCTTTGTTTGCATCTAATAGTTTTATAGCATTAGCTTTTAAATTTATATCTATGATTATTTTGAGTTATGTTTTTTTAAATATTTATTTTTAGTTATAGCCAGACACARTACCTTTTATTTTATTTTTACATAGTGCTGTGGATCGAACCCAGTGCCTCACGCATGCCAGGTGAGTGCTCTACCTCTGAGCCACAACCCCAGCCCT